GGCGAACCAACCCAAAAAAGGAAAAAAAGAAGAGTAAAAATAATTAGAAAGGAAAAATGAGGATCGGGGTAAATTGCCAAAGCAAAGCAAATAGGGGGACACAAACCTGGGGTAGGGGGGAGCCTGATCCTTTCCAAAGAAGTTGGGCATAAAACAGGAGTTAGAGTTGTGCAAAGGGCAGGAGTGGATGGCGGCAAAGCCGAGAAGATGGGAGTAGGAGCGCCACCTAGCCGCAAAACTGCTGCTTCCATTTGGGAGTCGCCTAGGGAAGAAATTAAAGAGTATTATTGCTGCGGTTCTAGAGTTATATCACTAAATCTTTCCATTTCCAATCGTAATTTAAAGAAAACACTGACACTCTAAAGCTAGGAACTCGACTTCCAGAAAATGAATTTCAGCTGAAATTCAGGTGACATGCTTACAGTGAAATAGATTTTGTGGAAATCTGGCTTCAAATTCTTGAGGAAATGGAGCTATTTCGCTGCTGAATGAAATATTTACAATGGCTCAGAGATGATGAAGAAGGCGACACTAGGAACACAACGCAGCTAGACTTGCGCCAAGCAAAACTCAGGGAAGGCGGGAGTCAGCTGAGGCGAGGCCTTGATGGCGAAGGAAGCTTTTCTAGAATTGTGTTGGGCCGCTTGGCTTTTGGTAGATTGAGAGGTGTTTGGTAAGTGATGTTGGTGCAAATGGAAGGTGTTTGAATCCTTTAACCATGAAATTTTGGGCTCAAAATCATGGAAATGGAAAAAATAACGTTGGGAGGGCTTCCCTGCAAGGGATCCGACCCAGCTCGAACAGGATTAGTCGCATGTCAGTTATACCTAAAAAAAAGAGTGAGTTTCAAGATGAGGAATGTTTCAATCATTTTTTTTTTCTTGAAAGGTCAATTAATAGTTTCATAAATCCCTTCTATTGATTTTATTATTAATTACTATATGGTAGGGTTTAATTTATCTATTGTTTCATTACATAAATTCATTCTAAAATCACTCTATGGGTTATAATTAAACTCAATATTATTCTCCAATTTATTTATACCCATAGTGTTAATAATGGTAGAATTTGAACCAAACAGTCCATTTTTTTTATTGCACTGGATAAAGTGCTTATTAATATAATACTATTGTTTGGATATGTGTACAAGTATATCATTGGTGCGTACAACTTATTTCATTGACTAATAGGTAACTTTAAAACTTTAAAATGTTTTGAATTACCAAAGTTGATATTTTATGTTTTGAAAAAATTTCTAAATACATGTACCATCGTAATAAATTTTTAATCAAACTTTCGATTTGTTTTTGAAGCAAAATGAATTATTGTCATCCATTTGGACCTTCATATTGTCTTCAATCTTAATATTACCTTGGCTTTGCCACAAAAACAATGACTAAAATGTAGAAAGCCTTTTTTCTATCAATTTTTCAAAAAAAAAAAATCAATATTATCAACAATAGCATGAAATCTCAATCCTTTTCCAACAAATTGTGGAGAAAATTAAGATAGATTGAATGCCAAAGAAAAAAAAAAAAAAAGGGATGGGGCTAAGAATTCTGGGTCGGGGATGATGGGCCTTGATCCATCGACATAATTTAATTTATGTTCGGACGAAAATGCCCTTACAATTTCATCAAATTTCACCTCTGCATCTAGGGTTTAGATATTCTTCAACAAGCGTGTATTTGTAGGCAGCGAAACCCTAGTTCTTGCGGCTGGAGAGATACAGAGAGGAGGAAAAATGGTGTCGCTGAAGCTTCAGAAGCGCTTAGCAGCAAGCGTACTCAAGTGCGGGAAGGGAAAGGTGTGGCTTGACCCGAATGAAGTCAGCGAAATCTCCATGGCCAATTCCAGTTAAGCATCATCCTCTACTAATTTTGCCGAAATATGGAACTTTTTTTTTCTATATTTTTATGATATTCTCTTATTTTCTTCCTAATTAGTGTTCATTTGACAAATTTTCCTATTTTTATCCGGATTTCGTAGGTTTTGTTTTCAGAATATGGATTTGAATTTGTGAAAAATTGGATGGTTTAGTTCCAGGATTCCCTTTTTCGGGGGAAAATTAGGTGTAGTCTAGGAGGGGCTTGACCATAATTGATTGGTTCTGGGCACATGAATCGCTCTGCGATACTCATCTACCTGGCCAGCCTAGTACATCGTCTGCTGCTGACCCCAAGGAGGATGATTTCTGCTTTGGGATAAATTACTAATTCAAAGATTATCTTTTTGGTGTGAAATATCTTGTCAAACTATTTGATCAGTGTAGCCCTTGAGTTTGGACGACTTTCTGCTTGGATTTTCTTTCAGAGGTGTCATCAATGGCAAGCTAAAGCCTCTGGGTGCATTCTGTTGCTTTATGTTGTTTGACTTATTCATTTGGGAGTTTAGAGTTTATCAATCTTCTTCTGGACAAGGATAAAATGTTTGGGGTTGGAATTGCAACTGGGGTTTTGATATGCAATTACAATTTGTAGCCTTTTTCTCTTTTCTTTTTGGTTTAGCTTTTCAAGAGGTACAGTTTGGCATGAGATTTGTGAAGATCGGTTTTAACATGGGGTTGAGGTGGTAGTGCTCATGCAATCAAATTGGTTTTGAAGCAGTTCCATTTAGAGTGTAAGACTTGAACAAGGAGAACTTGGTGGGATGACCTGGTGTGGTTTTCTGTTGCAGCGATGGTAGGTAAAATTCAAACTGAAGAGAAAGAATGAGGAATATGGAGGATAAAGAAGGAGAAATTGCTACCTAAAAGCTTGTTCTTTTCCCAGGTTGAATTATCTATGCAGTCCATGTTTCTTTGGACAATGACTACGTATGATATTACCTTTAGTACAGGATGGCTATAGAATTAAAAACTTAAAATATCTCCATCATATACTTGATAGATGATGTTGAACGTGTTCTCATACTTGCTATTGTGCTCTTCTTGCAAGCACCTTTGAATGAGTTGATTTCAGTTCTCGTGTTTCATAAAGTTTCTTCATACTAAGTGTTCTTCTATATCGTGGCAGTTTCATTCTTAAATAGCATTTATTGGACTAACATTAAATGGAAACTGAGCTTTTGTTTCTTGCTAATTGGTTGTGCTCATGGATTGAGTGACACTTTCATCCTTTGGGTGCAGGGCAAAACATTAGGAAATTGGTCAAGGATGGGTTTATTATTAGAAAACCGACAAAGATTCATTCTCGCTCTCGTGCACGCAGAATGAAGGAGGCGAAGAGAAAGGGACGCCATTCTGGATATGGTAATTGCTGTTGATAATATTGTGGAGCATTTTGCTCTGTCCTCCTCTTTTCATTACCATTGTCGAGCAGTTGCTGGCATGTTTATGCACGTGTATCCAGTGGATATGCTGCATTATAACTTCTTAAACTGGAAATGTCTCCCTCACTTTTAAAGCAGTTTTTGTGGATGACTGATTATCAATGTTCTAGGTAAACGCAAGGGTACAAGGGAAGCAAGGCTTCCTACAAAAATCCTCTGGATGAGGAGAATGCGTGTCCTCAGGCGTTTGCTTCGGAAGTACAGGGAGGCCAAGAAGATTGATAAACATATGTATCATGACATGTACATGAAAGTGAAGGGTAATGTCTTTAAGAACAAGCGAGTGCTAATGGAAAGTATCCACAAGTCAAAGGCTGAGAAGGCAAGAGAAAAGACATTGTCTGATCAGTTTGAGGCCAAGCGAGCCAAGAACAAGGCAAGCAGGGAAAGGAAAATGGCCAGGAGAGAAGAGCGTTTGGCCCAGGTATGTTTGGCATTTGAAACCAAAATTCTTTCAATCTAAAGCCACAAAATCTATTCTTTCCCAGGTTATTCTCTGTATCCACAGTGCTTTTCATGCCTTTGCGTTCTATTAGTATTTGTTTAGAAATTCGATTGTTGAATATCATGACACATTTGATATTTAGTTTAAATGATGCTGGCTATTTAATCATGCTCTTTCCAAGTCTAAAAGCAAGTTAATTCATTATGTTACATAATGCCATGCGGATTTGTCAATGCATTTTGTCTTTAACTTGTTAACTGGATATGCTCTTTAATTGGTGACTCTGTGCAGGGACCTGGGGCAAAAGCACCACCAGCACCTACTTCTCAGCCAACAGAGTGAGCAATTAGTCCTTCAAACATGGTATAAAGTAATCATTCTTGTATGCGATTTTACTAAGAAATACTAATTTTCTTCTTGCAGGGGAACAAAGAAGTCGAAGAAGTGATCTGTTGGAATTAATTATATATGGCCGTGCTGAAGCCACCTATTTGGCTAGTCAAGTTTTGTCTAGTTTCATGTTACTTTTATTCCTAAATTATGGTCAAGGACCTCTCTATAAACTTGGAAGTTTGTTTGTAAGTTCAGATTGTTTTTGTTGGTGAATGGTGAAACTTATTTCTGTTTACTAATTGAACTCGTATTAGGTGTGAGTTTATTCTGCGAGACTCTTGAGATTTTTACTGAATGCGCTTTCCTTATTTTCATTTGTGCTACTGGTACCCAGTACCCACCAACCCGTTTTCTTCCTTTTTTCCTCCCCTCATCCCAAGTCTTAAAGGCCTTAGCTTCTGTAACCAAAGACTTCTCGTCTGATAATATGGCGTCAAGATGAGTTTTAACTCTGCTAATTGAGACATAGTGACGAGTAAGTTTTTTGTCGCGTAAATATTGAGAAGAGGGAACCTCTGTTGGTCTTGAACTTCCCAAGACATTTGTACATTTTGACTGGCCTTGAGATGACGGAATACACATGGAGAGATGGAAGTTTATGACTTTTTATGGAAGCTTAATTCTGGTGAATTTTAGTCCATCATCCAAAGTAAGATTTAGACAGTAATTCGCCATTGAAGAGCCATGATTATGTTGCATGCCCAAGTCCAATACTTTATTTACTACTGCACAAGTCTTGCCCTGCTTGGTAAGCATATGAATGTTGGCGCTGCATCTCCTAAAGATACTATAAATGATCAAATCCATCGATCAAAAAACTCTGCTGGGGCGGCCGGAAAAGTCTAGCTTCATTCTGCAACTCCCTTTACGCTAACATACTAATCGAACAAGAACTCTTTTATGCTGAAAGAGTTGTTGGTTCTCCTTGTGGGATTAAAATCTTTAGTTGCTGAAATGAGGTCCCTCGAAGTGATTTCAATAATCTATGAGACCAGATGCTTCATGGGAATTTTTTTGACTTTTCTTTAAAAGTGAACTCTTTTCAGTTAGCCACCTTAAAACAGAATAAAGCATCGAATCCGGTAAAGAGCGCGTGAAATCGTTATTCCAAAGTTCGTGGATTGTGGCGCCTTTTACCCACCGTTAGCCATTAGGCAACTGTCATACGCGCCTTATCATCTCTCTCTGTAAAGGTTTCTGCTTTCGTAGGTTAATGGCAACAGCCCACAATTTGAAACCTGCAATTGTAGTCTCCAGCATCCCTTTTCCCCAATGCTCTTCATTTACTAGTACAACTCCCCATCTCTCTAGATTCTTTGGTACTGACCTTTCCAAAATTAGCCGCCCACAAAAGCTGCTGCCATCAATGCTGCTTCTGTCAAGGAGACGATTGGCTCTGCCTTCAGTTTCTGGAATGTGGGAGGCCTTGACCGGCGGTAGCTCAGCTCGTGAAGCTGTGATGGCAATTAGACGTGGAATGCTTCTCTTCAGACAGGTAGTTTTTGGTACTTTCTTTAATTTTTTATGCTAATTGAATTCTTATTTATCTTGGTTGATAATCTTATCTCTGTCAGTTGCAATGTTTGTTTGGTTGAAGGGTGATGTGCTGGGGTCGTTGGTGGAATTTGACAGGGCAATTGAACTTGATCCTCGACAGAAAGCCCGTGAGTCAACCGTAATATGGGATAGCAAAAACATAAATGTGTACAATTTAACCCCAAAATGATCAGTTTACAACGGCAATCAAACTAATGGGAAATTCGAAGTGAATGGTTTTTTGAAATTCACTGGGATTTCGGAGAAGTATATAACCAGCCGCTGACGTTGTGGGTTTTAACTAAATATGTTGTTGTCCGGAATTTATGGCGAATATCCAACACCGTCATGCATCAAGCGTCCAACTTCTCTGTCTTACTTTGTATAATTTTCAAAGTTTTATGCTAGGGGTTGTGCAGGGTTGATTTCCCGAGTTTTGATGAATGTTAAGATTTGTGGAAAAGCTTTTGGTTATATAGTAATTTAGGTGCTTTTTATGACTAATCAGATCTTTGGCAGAGGGGACTGTCGTTATACTACCTTGACAGGTATTGGATTGATTTATTACCTGCGCTTTGCATTTTGATTCTTTTCTCTTTGCTCTCTAGATAAGATATTTACTTCATTCTCCCTAGGTTTGAGGAAGGTGCAGAGCAGTTTCGGTTGGATGTTGCTCAAAACCCAAATGATACAGAGGAATCAATATGGTGTTTCCTTTGTGAAGCTCAATTATATGGAGTAGATGAAGCAAGAAGAAGGTATCTTGAGGTAAATCAACAATTAGCAGCTCGATTCAGAACCGTCGTATCCTTTCCAAGAAGGAAGATTTTAGATGACCGTGTGTGCTCGTTAGAGTCATTTTAGACACGTCATCTAGATTAAGAGAACCTAAAGGGCTGCTAAATATTTAGATTTCAATATGCACTATGCTCTCTTGGACATGTTGCAGCCGCAGCCTGGAACTACTACGTGTAAAATACTTTAGTCTATTGCTTGAGGTAATTTTGTCTTTGAAAAACGAAAGAAGATTCAAGTTTTTAAAGACATTTCTGGGTTTAATTCTGTTTCCGATTTTCTGAGCCCTTCATAAGACATTTTGGCTTCCATCTTTTCACTTGAACTGATAAGTACTGCATTTGAACAGTTTAGTTAATACATGCAGGTTGGTAGAGACCCTCGTCCTGTCATGAGAGAGGCATACAGCATGTTCAAGGATGGTGGTGATCCAGAAAAGGTCTGGACTGATGTTGGTTCCAGTTTAGGATAACTAATCAATCTGTAGCTCGTCTAAGACCTTGATTTTCCTTGGGAATACATAAAAAAAAGTTCTATTTTTCCTGAAGTTAAGTGCTAATTAAATTGTTACTTGGGAGTAGATTCTTCCATACAAACAGTGTGTTTTGTACATGGTTACTTTATCACCTAATTGATATGGGGATACTCTTAGTCTATGTGTCTAAGCTATTCAGGGCAATGCTTTAGCTAATTAACCGATTTCTTTGCATAGCTTGTGGCTGCATTTTCTGGCGGACGGGAGAATGAGTATTTCTATGCTTCTCTATATGCTGGACTTTATTATGAATCCCAGGTATTACAGTTGCGGTCCTAAAACATTCTTCCAATTTGTGATTTAGGTATCATCAGAGCCTTCTGCAATAAGTTTAGAACAAGAACTTTTGAGTAGTGTAGATGTTGATTCCAAGATATATTGAGGGCTGATGAAATAACTTTACGTCATGTTGACCTTTGCAGCCTTGATATATTTCTGCAATGAAATGTTTCCAAAAGTAGCCCGTTAATGAAACTTTCGTGGTCATATAATGTATAAACATTGAAGGAAAATGACACACATTTAATCAATTGCTTATACAATGTTTGCTGTATCTAATCACTTAATCACTTAGTGGTTTAAGGGAACGGACAAATAAGGTGGTCCACTGATCACAAAGGAGGATGTCGTCCAAGTACTCTTCAACATTGACACTTTGAACCATCATATTCGGTGCACATTCTGTCACTCAGTTGTTGGCTATCCTACTTGGGTGACACTTGGAGCACCCCTTTGTTGAACTAAGATTTACCAATAGAGACTGAACAAGTTTATTTCTATGCTGGATGTTCTACATGGAAGTGTTATGCTGTAATTGTGAAGGTCAATTACTTGCCTCGTTACTATGTTTGGAAGGTCATTAGCATGCAGTTTTCTCTTACGCAGGACAAACAGGATGAAGCAAAACGTCACATTGTTGCTGCTTGTCAATCTCCTTATGGACTCAGGTCTGCTAACAGAATATCTGCCCATAGTCTATAATTTGCTCAACTTCAAGCTTCATTTAAATGGTAAAATACCAAAATTTTTTTGTTCTTTGGTATCCCTCAGGTCCGATGACTACATGGCTTCTCTTGCCAAAGTGCATTGCCTGTGTAGAAATTGGGGCTCCGCTTAGAATACAACCATGACCCGGCAAGGTTTGATCAATATTTTCCTGAGTGCTTTCAACAGATTCTGATTCTAGGTTCCCTATGTATTGCTTGGCTTGATTAGCAGGATGCAATCAGGATACTATTGGAAATGAATCTAAAGGATCTCCTTAGCGTACATCACGTATGATCTTCAGGCACCTCATCATAGAAACCTGAGCTCTGCAATCTGTTGTTAAGAAGGGTCCATAGACCTCATCGTGGAATTTTACTCGTGACTTCTTGCTGACTATCAAAATCTTCTGTGAGGAGGGGATATAAAAACCATTGCGTATGCTGCATCACTCAGTTGTTGCAGAAAGTACCATAGATGAAGTTGTTTCACGCAAGTTCAAAGAACACCCTGTTAGGAATTTCTGTATTGTGTAATATGCCTAGTACATGCTCTATCAGTTGGTGGTTAACTAGCTCAATTCTGCATATCTAGTGGCTTCATACACGCAGACGTGTGAATGTATCATGTAAATATTTTGATTTCGATAAATATCATGCATTACAATTTTGCACCTTTCGGAAAGCAGGATACTTGCAGTGCAGCAACTAGCAACTAAATAGGAAGGTAACTGACGAAACTGGCTTCTTGTGAATTGTGATTGTGATTGCAGGGCTTCTTTTTCTTTTGCTTTTCCGTTGGACATTTGACACCAGCAGTTTGTAAGACCAAAACAAATAAGCAGGAGCTGTCGTGAGAATTTTGTGTATTCATCTGCCCGAGCTTCTTTGATCTCCTCCTCCTTTTCTCCTGTCTTGTTTGAGAAAAACATGACAGTTTAAGCAGTGATTCGGAGGGAACTGTAACAATCTCATTATCATCGTTTAGAGGGCTTTTGTATTCTGCCACCCAAAACCATAAGCATATCAAAGAAAACACAAATCATTCTAATGCAACAGCTCTTTTTCCTTTACTATGGTCTAATTCGTGTAATTGAACCACGATTCTACACTTAATGGATGCTTTCTAGTCAATTCTTAATTGTTCCCTTTAAGGTTATGATGATATAAAATCTTGCTCATTATGGACTCTATCTAGAATGGATGAACGAGTCCATCTCTATACCAAGGCTTTGTCCATCTCTATCTGTTCTTTCTACTCTTCAATTTGCCGTCATTTCACTCAAACCAAAATTATTTCTTTGAGGGTTGGATAAATGAGCATCTCACAAGAAAGTACTCCATAGATATTGGCTGGAGTGAAAAGTGAAAAGGGTCTTCCCTAATGGGAAAGGAAAGGCCAACAATCAAGCACTTCAATTATAATAATATGACTAGGAATCTGGAATATGCTCTTCATCATACAATAATGAATTTTGCTTCTTATTGATTTGGCTCTTCAAGCTATTCTAAAGGTAGGAAACAAAGAAAAGATAGTTTAGGTTAGGACGTCTTTGCCATTATGTACATCAAACACTATATACTACTATTTATTCTCATCATTTATGTTTCTAGTCCTAATGATCTTAAATGCGAAACATGAGCTATAAATTACCTCAAAACATTAATAAGCACTGCCTAGGTCCCCATAATTAGAATGTGACATGCTAGTATCCTTTTTGTTTGAATGTTGTATTAAAGCATGTTAGCTTAAAATTTTCTAATGCCCCGTATGATTCGTACAAATATCACTATAAATTTTTTTTTTTTAGTTAATTTTTCTCTAATAGGAGAGGGGGATGGATTTTAAAACACTGGAAAAGAAACAGTAGTTGGAGTCGTTCTGAAAGCTAATCCCTCGATGCCTATAATTTTTTAAATCTCGACGTTAATCACTGTACTCTAAAGTTATCTTCACACAAACTAGCCTATAAACTTTTGTTACATTATCCTAGGAATTCTTGCTGTGTACACACAACACCAATCTAAATAGTTGATGGCAATAGAAAAGTTTGTGTATCATATCCATTCTGATGATTATCCTGCCCATCTCCATTAACATATATACACCAAATTTCCCTCTCAGCACGCAATATTATAGAATCCCTTTAGTGTTTGGTGGGAGATGCTGTTACTTGCGGGTGGAAAACACAGGAATCAGTTAGCTAATGATTGGATCCAAAGATTATTACTAAAATACTAAAGGCATAAAAGGGTATCTTACCATGATAAGCAATATATAACCTTTACAGCATATTCTCGCTTGTAAGCACAAAAATATTGGATATTCTGTACTGGATTCTACTCGGCACGTTCCGTATTCGACAATTCGTTCTTGAAATGACAAAGTTAGCCTGCCAATACTACAATTGATTCATTGTAGCCTTGAGAGTTTAGACTTTCAGTCCCAGCCCCCACTTTCAAGAAATTTGACCTTTTCTTTTTTTGAGTGATTGGAACTAGCCGAAATCTGATTCAGCAGACATGCTAGATCCCTTCAACATATGAGAATATTCCAAATCACAATTCCAATGCCATTACTTAACTCTAAGTGACCTTCTATGCCATGCTGTTTGTCATGATGGGGTAGGAGGTCAAGATTATGCTTGCCATTTAATCATGACGGTTACTTTTAAGTGATTTTGTTGGACGTGGATTAGACTCCCACTTTCCTTATGTTAGACAGGAATAGATTATATAAATGTTATCGTTGCAATAAAAAACTAGTAACCTTTCTGTATTGTTGTCATTTCTTTTATATAATCACTTTTTTCATATATATGTATATATATATATATAGCTAACTCAAAATATTAAATTAAATTATATAAAAGACGTACAATATCAAGCGCAAATATGGCCCCAAATATCGTATGAGTGATAATATATCATGCAAATTTGTGCCATACTAAAGGAATGGATAATCTGCAACCTAGTTAGTTCAACAAAATCGAATGATAAAAATCTTTTCGATTTTCCTTGTGAATTTTATATCTTGCTTTCTACTATCTATATGTTAATTCGTGTCAAACTTGGTTAACCTTTTTTTCTTCTTCTTTTTGCTTTTTTTTTTTTTTGAGCTAAGACCTGATTTGGCAATAAATCATATATGCTACAAAAGCCAAATGAATACAGAAAAATCTCAATTTTATCAAAAGAAAATTGAAAAAGCAACTTGCCAAACTCATTAATAATTTCCTCCCAAGCGAATCAGTACCCTAAAAGAATATGCGAAAAGAACACAAGGACATAATCGTCATTTCACCTATATCAGTTAAGACAGTTTTCCATCAAACTCTCACTGTTCCATTCAAAGAAGGGATTTAAAACAACTCATTTCCCATTTAATCACAGGATTACTCCTTAATCTCCCCAATTCAAATGCTCGCCAACCACTAAAGCCCCCCCCACCAAACCTTTAGCTTTCCATGACCGCCATCCTCCTTGCGCCACGTGTATAAAACAACCTGATCAAGACTTTTCGATCATACGTGGCACCATCTAAACCTGTCTTCCCAGAAATCCCGTGCACCCGCAGGTCGCCCAAAGGCTAAAACCTTACGTCACCTTTTCTGTCTTTCTTCTCCAACTAATATTACGCTTCATCTTTTTTTCCTTTTTGCTCTTGGAGCTCTTTTGGTTTTCCTCTGAATTTATTTGTCCGTTTACTTATTTATTTTTGCTGGATAATTCAGAAAAAGAGAAATGTTGAAGGAGAAACTTATCCCCGAGAAGCTTCCGTCGTCGTCGGCGATGTCATCGAGTCACTCGCTCCGGTGCCACGGGGAAACGACGACGAGAATTTTTGAAGAGCTGCCGATGGCGACAATTGTCTCGTTGTCGAGACCGGAGGCAGGGGAAATTAGCCCATTGCTTTTATCATACACCATTGAAGTCCAGTACAAACAGGTCCAGACTCTTTTTTCGTTTCTCTTCCTGTTTTTTCTTTTTTTTTTTTTGGTTTTTACGTTTTCTTCAATCAGAATATAATAAATGTGATGCATTTATGTGCATGTTTGTATGTGGCATATGTATTTGAGGAAGTAGCTATGTACGCTTGGCGCGAACAGCATTTCATTTTTTTTTAGAATTTAATACGCATGTGGCGGGGTCTCTTTTTTTTCTTTTGGGCTATTTTTACTATATTTATGCGAGGGGCAATTTTTTTTATTGCTCTTCTTGTTGGTATTGAATAAGTTTGCAAAGGATATAAGAAGAAATGCTGTTTTATCTTTATCTTTTTTTTTTTTGTGTTGTTAATGGAGAGAATTTGAGTTTTTTCTCTTCTTCTTTTTTTACACCTTTGTTCAAATGCAAATATTTGGTTGGTCGATACTTTACTTGGTTATGTATAAGCAGCTTGGTGGAATTTATACTTGAATTGAATCTATATTTATTTCTTATACACTAATAATTATTTATCGGAAATTGCGCTGCTAATTGCTTGTTTGATGCATTCCAAAATTTTTCGATAATTACTTAATGTTCATGTACAATTATGAATATGGATATTCCATGCATTCTTCGGTTGTTGCTGTTATTATTGGGGGAGGTATACATGGAGGATATGATTAGTATAATAAATCATAGCAATATGAAAATTCTCAAGTTCTTTTGATTGTGGAGCTTTTGTCACGATGCAGAAGGTACATTCTGAATTTAAATGATGCTGAAGGTACTTTTGGAAATTGTGATAGAGTTCCTTTTAAACCTGAAGATGTTTTAAGTTTTTTGAGATAAAAAATGAATCTTTCAAATGAGTTGGTTAACAGTGACAAGGTGGGCTTTTTCAATCCCGTCAGCACATCATGCTTGTGAGGGAACTTCAGTTTGTAGATTTTTAGGATTTAATGGAAAAATAGCTTTGTTTTGAGAAGGAATTGATAATTTTTTTTTAAAAAATTCCATTAATGCATTAAGGTCATGGTGAATGCCTGGAATTGAATATTAGAGACAGAAAGGCAGGTGGAAGCATGAGTGTTCGGAAATGTATGAGAAGATTCAGGACCAGAAAAAAAAAATGTACAAGCAGGAACAGGAATTTATATTTTCTTTCTTTTTCCTTTTTTGAGCAAGTAAAGGAAATCATGACTGCAACTCATGTGATAGAAAACACTAGCACAGTCTCTCTTCTCCAGACCATTGAATCTTAAACTGTTATCTGCCTGTAGAGGCTTATCTGCCTGTAGAGGCTAGATAACTCATTCTTTAATCCTTACTGGAGCTTTTGAGCTGGGCTATCCCCACTTCAGATGTTCCAAACTAAGCTGATTGGTTAGTGTTTTGCTAGTGTATGTTATAGTTTAGAAGAACCAGAAACTGATCATGCTAATGTCAGATCTTTGTCTTTCATGAGTTAACATTTAACAACACACTCCTTGCTGAAGAATGTTTTACTGCTTTTAACCACTTGGTATAATTTCTGAATAATGCTTTTGGTGTTAAACATGTTATCGTCAAATTTCTTTACTCAGTATATGCTTCTATCCTGTGATAGCTTTTATTTGAAGGATGTTTTTCATATGCTTCTTAACCTTAGTTGCTTTAGCAATGAACTTCTCTCATTTCCTTCTTTCCTTGCCTTCTCTCTCTCTCTCTCTCTCTCTCTCTCTCTCTCTGTATGTGTACTGTGTGTCCATCTCTGTT